TTTGAAGAAAAAAAACGGGACATTTTTTGTCAAGCAATGCTACATACATACATATTTCACTTATACGTTACATGCTTAGTATTATTTAATGATACATACGTAGTTATGTAACATATTATGTAAAGTTTACACGGGACATAATGACACTAGATAATTACATTGTATTTTATGTATTAAAACTGAAAATTGTGTTCGTAACAAAATAGTTCAATGTTTTTATTTCACGCTCTGGTGACGTAGGTATATTGCAAGCTAAGTTAAACGCTGCACATGTTTTCTTTGTTTGCAGTGGATTACATATATTACTGGTTAACGACCGAGAAACCATAAACATCGCTCGTTTTTGTACGGGATCGGGTTCTGTCAAGTCAGCAGAAGAGAAACGGCTGTGATAAGACTATGTAGCAAATTTTCAAAAACGTTCTTTTTGTTTCTTGTTTAACAGTATTGGTTTGCTGTTTAGTAGTAATGTAATTATGTAGAAAAAAGTAGCTATGTTCCTAAAAATTTGCTTTTGTGGCAGTCACAATGGTATTTACATAGCCACATAGTAGTATTTAGATAATCTCGCAAATCTACACATTTCTAGTTTATTTTGTCATCAATTTGTAGAGTTTTGATAGAGATATACAATTGATTTGAAATATAAATGTTCCCTTTTTATCTTTAAATAAAGAGAAACTCGAAAATTCCGAATTCGTGAAACGCGCTTCGTCGGAATTTTTGAAATGAAGCAACTACATGAAAATGTAAACTCCAGTGGTGTATATACATATAAGCTTCTTGCTTGCAACGCGACGTTTGCACGCGTTTGAATCGATTCACTACAGCGCGTAAGCGGGCGTTTCTCTGTATTTAAAGATAAAAAGGGAACATTATATTTCAAATCAAGTACTACAGTCTCTTAAAGTACGCAAATTACAACTTTTCGTTGTCCTGACTACAAAAGCAAAGTTTTTGCAGGGATATTAATGTTTTTCATGGTTTTTATGTCAGAATTAATCAGAAAATGATATCTGTAACGCAGAAACAAAAATCGTGTTACTAATAAGAAGCCCTTATGTTGGAAACAGAATATTAACGATACATACACTATTACAGAACATAGTAACAATACCACAATAAGATAATAACAACGATGTCGTCACATTAAAATTAAATGTCAGCCATTCTTGTATCGTTCAAAGTGTAACAAAACACAAAAAGTAAAACAAAGATAACAATTGAAGCAGGCATGACTAAGGGCGCGTTCCCACTATGTCGTTACGTTTTAGACGACTGTCGTGTCTAGCCTGTTCCCATATCACGACTACCTGTCGTGGACGATTTTTTATCGTTGAACGACTGTCGTGACTAGCTGTTCCCATTAGATCGTGACGACAATTTATCGTTTCACGACAGCCTCCTTGTCGTTTTCACGACAGAATCGTTTGATGCACTGCAGTCGCTTGTATGTTCTTTTGGAAGCCGGTAGTATGTGTTCGCTCGAAATGGATGAAGACGAAATTTTATTAATGTATTACTTTTTAAAAATGCGGAAGAGGAAGCAAACAAAGAAAAGAAAGTTTTGGGTACATCCAATGCTATTAAAAAGAATTTCATTAGGGTTATCTCAAACGGTATACAGTTGCTTTCTTTTCGGTATTGTCAAAACCTGGCTACGACCAGAGATGGGCAGTGGGTTAAAACCCAATCAACCCGCCCGTGTTTTCACCAGGGTTTTACCCTAAGCACCGAGTTTTAACAAATTTCTGCCCAAAATCGTGGGTAGAAACGAAGACTACAGAATTTGGTATAATTCCAACGCTAACAACATAATATTCAATAACTTGTAACAAATTTCTATATTTTTATTACATGAAGAAGAGGCATCTCCACATAACACCCACCACCTGTCAATCCTGTGGATTCTCAATGAAGATCGATTCAAGTGCATACGATCTAACGATTTTTTATATCAATTTATTGATGAACTTTTCAAGCGAATCTATTTAATAGAAAGGTAAATCGAACTGTCCTGATAATAAAGCAACAAAATATTTTGTAATAATATATATAATTAAATTTGAACAAAACTCAATTCACAACAAATATTTAGACGTAAATAGTGCCCTCGATTTCGGGTTTTAACCCGATTTAAATCCGGCGTTAACAAAGCGCTGAGTTAAAACCCGGGCGCTTGCCCGTCTCTGGCTACGACTGAACGCTACTGCAAAGCGAGCAGAGGGCGCGGGGTACGAGAGGGGAGGGCAGGGAGCAGAATGCGTGCGGACAGCGATAAATAAAACGTGATGACAATAGGAGCTGAGACAATCTGTCGTTACGTTTTTATCGTGACTTTTTTATCGTCTGACGACTGTGGTTCTAGTTGTTCCCACTATGACGACAGTTTGTCGTTGTAACGATAAAAAATCGTGAACGACAGTTAATCGTGTCGTGCTATATTTGAACAACTTCATTTAAATATACAAGCCACAACACTGTAAACTGCACGACCTGATTTTGTTATTACTGTGCTACAATCTCCACAGATTATATTAAGCTCCACTCACCACAACCAAAATAAGTAATTACTGTTGGCTTAGTAGATTTTTAATACTTTTCAATCAAGACTTAAGTCTCATAAGTCTCCTTATTCTCGAGATTGAAAATATCATCGTGATTGAGTCTCGAAAATTCCAGAAAAATTATAGAGAATGCAGAACAACACCTTGCAATATGGGATATCAGTTCCTCCAGTTATTCTAATCGACTGGAAAAAAAGGCATGTGAAAACTTGTATAAAATTTATTGACAATTTTGAAACTAAAACTACAAATGGAAAAAAAAACATAGCAGGAGATATGTATTGGCGATCGGGAATTCGGTTTTTAAAAAAGAGTTTATTTAATTACAAAAAGGTGTTTAATTAGAAAGAGCTGTTACAAGACTAACTTACAAATTACAAAATATAACTATGTACTAAAAGTGCATATAGGCATTATTGCATTCTGCGCGTGTGACCTATATACATCGTCAGCTATATCCGGGCCTTACGGCTTGGTAACTCCTCCCTCCTTAAGATGGAAGCGTACTCCGCAGCTTCCAGTGGGGTTGGTAGTAGGGTCTTTTGTTTCCGGGTTGTTGATTGTAGATATTTCTGATCTCTGTTGTCTTCTTTTGTAGTAGCGGTATAACTTCCATGAGCACAAGGCCACGCCGAAGATGTATACCAGCAGGGTAGGCCAGCTAGGAGTGGTGGAAATTAATGTCCCGTCCTCTATGTCTGAATCAATCTGCATTTCTGTTACTTGTTTAGCAGTTGGTGTATATCATCCAGAGGTATGTCTTCTAATTGTAGGTCGTATCGTATGTTGTCCGGGGGTGGAGCTTGTACAGTAGGTAGAGGGATGACTTCGTGTATGGATACGGTGCTACTGTGTGACGTCAAGGTTCTATTCATGAGTTGTGCTCTACACTGTTTCGATAGTGCGATGATGTAGGTGCCTGACAGGCGTTTGTATTTCGTCGTAGTATCGCAGAAGGATCGCAGGAGTTCATCTCGTGGCGTGATGACCAGCCAGCTGGTGGGTGTGATTTTCTGTATTTTTCCTTTTTGTAGATTCGTCCTGGCGTATGTACAGTTTGCTTTTTTCTGGTTTAGGAGAGAGAGCACGCAGTCCTGCGCTTCTTTGAGTGGTTTGGTGTCGATGTTTTTGCAGAGCTGTAGAGAATCGGTAATCTCCCGGCAGGAGTCCATATCAAGGTAGGCGTACTCTTCACTTCCAAGTGCGAGAAATTTGGATTTAGGGATAACGGTAAGGTTTCAGGAGTTGGGTATGGAGTAAATGTGAACCAGATCATATGCTGGGGTATTGACAGAAGGGATCTCTAATATAAAAGTGAGAGTCTGTGCTGTACTATGTGCTTTAACGTCTATAGATCGTTCGATTTCATGAATATTACTAATAGTAATATCGGCTATAGGTACAAAGGAGAAGTTACGTTGCAACTGTAGTAATTCATACACTAGGTTATGGGGTTTAATTATGCTAGGGTGCATAACACCTAATTGCGAAAAAGTAATCGCGTCTTCTAGTAGCATAAGAGTATCTAAAATTATTTGTAAACTAAAATCTAATTGAACGTAAATATCTAAAAAATGTAGTCGATTAAGGGCTACTTTATAACTAGAAGTGGTATTTAGCAGCACGGCGCTTAATGTCTTTTGGTTCTCAACGATGGTATGCAAACTTTTCTTAAACTCGGATATAGTTTTTTCGGCTAGAATAACTGTGTATTTGTTCTGTGTGGATATGTCACCCAGCCTGTGTCTAAGTTTATACAGTTCCTGCTCAATTTTGACTGCATCGTCGTTGTCTAGATTACCGGTAATAGCTTTAACTACAGAACCTAGGCCATTGATGATGCCACGCCTAACTCTACTATGGGGCGACAAAAACATTAACTTACTGTCGATTACACTAAATGTATGTTCTATTTGTTCCTTATAGGTACTATGTAGAGTTTCAGGTGTGTCTTGAGCTTCGAAAGCTTTAGTTCTAATAAATAATTCTAAAAGTTTAAGAGAAGCTATATGTATATCTGAAATATTATAAACGCAGACAAGGCTGAAGGTGTCAACTTGTTGGAGAATTTTTCCTTGCTTAAGTAAGAGAGCACCGGAAGATGGGTCTATTTGGGTTATAGTCACGGTGGCTGATGCGTACAGCAGGAGGGTTCCTGAGAGGACTGACCTGGAACAAGATGAGGTCTTCTCAGAAGTCTGAAATGGACACGAATTGACTTAGCGTTCGGGGTGACTTCCTATTATTTCTGCAACATTATTAGGATGAAGGTGGATG